GCCTTTGATATTAACTCAGAGCTTCTGGTTCTCACAAAGAAGTCATTATCTATTGTGTCAACATTACCCAAATAACAGGAAGTAACACATACCTTTATCTTTTTTTTTTTTTTTTGGTCTTTTTGAGACAGAGTCTCCTTGTAGCCCCAGCTGTCCTGGAACTTATTATGTAGACCAGGCTGGCCTCAAACTCACAAAGATCCACCTGCTTCTGCCTCCCAAGTGCTGGGATTAAAGGCGTGAGCCACCGCGCCCAGCAACCTTTATCAATTTTTAAAGACTCATTGAACTCAATTTTACACCAGTAATTTTTCAAAAGAAGATCAATGATTCATTCCTTCATTCATTCTCTCTGAATGTATTGTTTTGTATAAAATATATATAAATGGTAAAAATCAGAAGAAAACATATAAAGAAATAAATTTTAAAAAGTGAAAACTAGAAAAAAACCTAATTGTAAACAGAAATGTGACACAGTAATTCCCTGGACAATGGGGAATTATTGAATAATTATTCTAGTATCTTGCAAAAATAATGACATAAAATCCCACCCCAAATAGATTCTAATTTGGAGTTAAATGTCCAAAAAGAAAAAGAGAAGGAGAAAAGGGAAAATAAAAACATAAAAGAACCAGAGGAAAACAGAGATAACTATTTTTTTTAAAGTGTTTTTAATCTTTGGGAATGCCAGGGATTTAATCTAGCTCTACTGCGGGGCTTTACCAGACCTCTGAGATAACTATTTATCTGATCTTAAGGTAGGAAAGGACTTCCTAAACAAAACACCAAAGGCAGGAAGGATACAAATTAAAAAGACACTGAAAGAGTCACCACAGACATTTAGGGAACTCTCTACTTCCTAAAATGGCACCGACAAAATCAGACCCTAATGTACTTTTAAAATACATGGCAGACTCTTTCTAATACACTCATGCATCACATATCAACTTTTCAGCCAATGACAGACTACACATAACAGTAGTCTCATATGATGGCAACAGAAAGGGAACATTTCTCACTAAATGTCATCACACCCATCACAGAATCACAGCACAGTGTAGCATGTGGGTGTCTGCAGTGAGGCCAGTGCAGACAAACCTCTAAGAATAGAGTGAGCAGTTATGTATGCATAATAACCACCAGTAATACTTGGTGATGAGAATACTGCTTATGTGCTTACTATACTAAACTACCTTCTAACTATTTTAGAGTGTACACCTACTCATAAATACAATAAGTTAACTAAAACAGCCTTGGGCAGGTTCTTCGACTGTTATTACAAAGATGCTACTGTCTCCGATGGCAGCTCCGAGTGTTTTGGACCCTGAAGATCTTCCAGTGAGACAAGGTGTGGAACTAAAAAAGAGAGTAATACTGATGATGATCCTGACTGTGAAGGCCCAGGCTGATGTGAGAGTCTGTGTCTTGGCTCTTAAACAGCTTAAATGCTAAAAAATTTTATAGAAAAAAAGCTCATAGAATAAGGATAATAAAACATTTAATAAAGCATCTGTACACAGATGTAGAATGAATTGCATTTTAAAGTAAAAGTTATTACAAGAGCCAAAAAGTAAAAAAAAATAAAAATTAAATTTATTAAGTAAAAAAATTAACAGTAAGCTAAGGCTAATTTTTCACCAAAGAACTTTTTAAAATGAGTTGACTATTGCCTGAGTGTACAAAATATATCATCAACAGAAGAGTGTAGCAATGTCTGATGTCTGCTCACTCATTCAATCACTCCTCATTGACTCACCCAGAGCAACCTCCAGTCTTTCAAACTTCATTCATGGTACGTGACCTAAACAGACCAGTGCATGTATGTGTACACATACACACACACACACACACGCACACACACACACACACACACAAATAAAAGTTTTGGGGTTTTTTTTGTTTTGTTTTAAAAACCCTTAAAAAAAGCTGGGTGTGGTGGCGCATACCTTTATCCCAGCACTTGGGAGGCAGAGGCAGGCAGATCTCTGTGAGTTTGAAGCCAGCCTGGTCTACATAGCAAGTACCAGGCCTGAAAATCTGAACATTTTCCAAAAGAACAAATTAATGTCCAATAAGAACATGCAAAAATGCCCAGTATCATTAGTTACTAGGATAATTCAAGTAAAATCATAATGAAAGTCTACTTTATACACCAAGAGTACAGCAATGAGATTTTTTAAAAAATATTTATTATTTTATTTTATGTCTATGCGTGTATTGTCTGCATGTCGGTAAGTGTATCTGTGTCGCAATGCCCGCAGAGGACAGAAGAGGCTGTTGGATCCCCTGGAACTGGAATTATGAACAGTTGTTGGCTGCCATGTGGGTGCTGGGATACGAACCCAGGTCTTCTGCAAGCACAGCCAGTGTTCTTAACTGCTGAGCCATCTCTCCAGCCCAGCAATGAGTTTTTTGTTTTTTTTTTTTTTTTGGTCTTTTTGAAAAAGGGTTTCCCTGAAGCCCCAGCTGGCTTGGAACTCATTATGCAGACCAGGCTGGCCTTGAACTCACAGAGATCCACCTGCCTCTGCCTCCCAAGTGCTGGGACTACAGGCGTGCACCACCATGCCTGGCTCCAGCAATGAGTTTTTAAAAATATTTTATTTATTATTTTTATTTTATGTGTATGAGTGTACTGCCTGCAAGTGTATAAGTGCACCCATGTCATGCAATGCCCATGGAGGTCAGAAGAAGGCATGGGATCCCCTGGAACGGGAGTTACAGATGGTTGTTAGCCACCATGTGGGTGCTGGGAATCTAACCCACCCGGGTCATCAGTGCTCTTAACCACTGAGCCATCTCTCCAGCCCCAGCAGTGGTTTTTTTTTCTTTTAACATGGAAAATAATGTGTTGGCGACAATACAGAGAAATAGGAACCTTTATGTATCAGTGGTACAACTTACCGTGGAGCTGCTTTGGAAAACAGTTTAGCAGCGCCTCAAAAGACTTAAACAGTTACATTGGGCCCATCAATTCCATTCCCAGTTGCCCAAACACAATAAATATAAATACACAAAAACATGCAAATAAATGTTCACAGTAGCATTAAACAGACAAAAGATGGAAAAACCCAAATATCCATCAACTGATGGAAACAAAAATAAAATATGGCATATTTATAAAGGAATGTTACTTGGCAAAAGAAAAAAAAGTTCCAACACAGATTAATCCTGAAAGTATAATGCTAAATCAAAAAAGGTAGTCACAAAAGGCTTTATAAAGTCTATGACTCCATTTATACAAAACATACAGAATAAATTCACAGGCAGAAAATGGATTAGTGGTTGACAGGGACTGGGGAGAACAAAAGAGCAACTGCTAAGGCATACGGGCCTTCTGAGGTGATGAGATGTTCTGAGGTTAGATACTGGTGACAGCTACCCAACTCTATGGAAATACCAAAACCCACCAAATCCCACATGGTAAAAAAGTGTCTTTTATGGTATGTGAATTATGCTTCAATAAAGCTGTTATTTTAAGAAAAATAATCAAATTTAAAAGTACAATCTTCAACCAGCAACTAAATGACATGATTTTGGGGGGTTTTTTTGTTTTTGTCTTTTTGAGACAAGGTTTCCCTGTAGCCCCAGCTGGCTTGGAACTCTCCTTATGTAGACCAGGCTGCCCTTGAACTCACAGAGATCCACCTGCCTCTGCCTTCCAAGTGCTAAGATTAAAGTCGTGTGCCACCATGCCCAGTGGACATGAATATTTTTAGCATATTTGTTATTACTAACATATACTGACTGTGCTAGAAAAGTAATAAATGCAAAGCTCCCTTTGGAGAATTTGGGGCTGACACTAAAACTGAAAAAGCATGTTTGTAAAAGTAAATGAATTTGTTCCAGGCCAGCTGGGGCTACTGGGAGACCCTGTCTCAAAAAAGACCAAAACAAAAAAAAAGTAACTGAATTCTAGGAAGTTTCAGGCCAAAGGCACAGATGACTCAGCCTTTTAAGAAGGCTTTTCCCCAAACACAGAGTTCTTTTGAGAATGGCTGAAATGTGCCAGTGTTTGGCTTTCTGCATTCTCCATGTCTGTCACCCTGTCCATGTTTCTACTTGTGGCCTTTCAGATCTGCATCATGCACCCAAGCTCCCTTTACATGACAAGACCTAGACTAAATGAGCGATGAATCTGAAGGAAGGAGAACTGGAATGTTGAAGGGCAGCAGTGGCAGTTCCTTCCTCCTCTTGGCATGCTCCAGTGAGGCTGCTGAACTCCAGAAAGATGTGTTATCTGATTCTTACAAATTCTGAGACAGGATCAAATATTTGTTTTAGAAGTTATCTGTTGCTTCTTTAAAAAAATCTATTTCAAGCTACCATACCAACTACAATGAATAGCAATATGAAATTGGTCCAAATAAATAGTAATGAAGACAAGCCTACTGTCAAATACTTTATTCGACATCATTTGGCTTCAAAGAGTAACTAACTCCCTTGATACCAACAGGAGTGGGAGAGCATTAATTGTTGTTTTAAAAAATAAACTTACTGCCGGGCGTGGTAGCGCATGCCTTTAATCCCAGCACTCGGGAGGCAGAGGCAGGTAGATCTCTGTGATTTCAAGGCCAGCCTGGTCTACATAGTGAGTTCCAGGACAGCTGGGGCTACAGGGAGACCCTGTCTCAAAAAGACAAAGAATAATAAATGAATGAATGAATGAATGAATGAATGAATACTTATTATATAAAGTTCAGCTTAAGGTCAGACATGAACCTTCAATTTGGCCATGTACTATACAAGCTATCAACAGCACAATCTTAACAACTGCCTCCTCAGCCCTAAGGTGCATCTATCGAATGGATGGCCTTCCTCAAGATGGATTTCCTTCATAGTATCACCTGAATACAATATATTCCATTATCTCTATCTTCCTGAGAATGAAAACAGATTGCATCCTAGTAAACTGAGCCAATGGTTTTACAAGCGCTAACGGCGCAGAATTCTCTTAAGGTACGCGGATGAGGGACTCACAGTCACCTCATGTTCCATACCTGGTATGCACTGTGCAGTGGCCTCAGTGGTTATGGTTGGAGCAACAGGGGGCTGCTGCTGACTGGAGCTCACTTCAGGCTCTGTGTTAACTGAGGGAGAAAGGGCTACTTCACAGGATGAGACCTGGCTGGGCAAATGCGGCAGGAACTCCTCCGAAGCAACTTGCTCATCCTGTCCAGGCAGTTGCAGGGCAGACAAAGGGATACTGATCTGTTTGTTAGGATGGGATGTGCTCACAGGCATCTGCATGGCCACCTGCTGGGTGGAACCATGGGCACCAGTGGGTCCTCTGTTTGGTGAAGCCAGAGACACCCTAGTGGTCTTTGGGATGATTGGTCTGGAGATCACAGAGGGGGATGCTGACATAATATGTGGATCTAGCTCTGTGTTGATGGCAGATGTTACATGGGGAATCAGCTTAGCAGACCCTACACAGGAGGGACCAGCATGAGTCTGAGGCTTGGGCTTTGCCATCTGTGTCAATGAAAGGGCTGGTCCATCCACTCCTCCAGTCAGCTCAGCATTTGCCACAATATAATAATCTTCAGGAATCTCTTGCTTGATTTTCTTGATGATGACATCATTACTACAGTCATCAATCATCTGTCCCTGGGAGCTTGAATGGACGGAAGACGGAATGATTCCTGGCCTTTTGCGAGCAATAATTTGAGGCCTTTGGGTTTGGGGTTCAAAGTCGCTATCCTCGTCTGTAACAGAAGACTCACAAACCATGTCAAACAGTGTGTTTTCATCTTCATACTCTTCCACACCTTCATCCAGTTCAGAGGGCTCACTGCAGTAAGAGAAGTCACAAGAGTCTCTGGTCCGGTTACAGTCCAGCTTTGCCTTCACAGGTCTCCCAGGGTACCTTTCCACGGGGCTAGTCTGCGTCTCAGAAGGCACCCCAATTATACTGGGACTATCAGAATTAAAACTTCGGTTGTCCTGGAAACAGACCCTCTCTTGGGACCCAGCTCTGCAAGTAGCTGTTAGAGGCCAGTGGTAAGCATGGCCAGCACTACAGCCCCACATTGCAGTTAGGTTCCCATGGGAACCTTCAGAAAGCAAGTGTTTCAGGTTTGGAATGAGGCTGCAAATGGTCCCATGGCTATGGGCCCAGCTGACCAATTTGGACAGATTCTCAGATGAGGTATGAAGACAGTCCTCCATGTTACAGAATCAGCAGTGTCTTTCCTAAAAGGAAGTAATTAAAAGAAGCAGTTACTAGTCAGGACATTCCCATATCACAGTTACTTTCTTCCAACTATAATTACAAGAAATACATGTCAAAGCTGCACCAAGATACCACCACTGCATGTGGACAGGAACTGGAAAAGTAAAAACAGAGACTGACTTACAGTATGGGATTTAGAGAAAATTTTCATTAGTTTCCTTTATTCCTATAATAATACCTGCACAAAAGAAGACAATGAAGCAATTAAAAAAAAAAAAAGGATTACTTTTTGTCATTGCAAATTTTCCTTTCAAAGTGACAGAGAGGTTCAACCAGCTCTTAATAAAATGTGTACACTACTTGCATTAACCAAGAGGCTCCACTTCCATTGTCACCCTCTAATAAACTTCAGTACTGGAGGCAGAGCTGAAAAAGAAGTTTGGATCCATTGTAGGATGAATGTCAGAGCAGGAAAGTCAACCCTCTGCTGGGCACTAGAAAACAAGGTAACTGAAGATGTAAGGAGAAAATGAGGAGCTAAATTTAGGAATTGAGGACAAAAGTCTTAGAAGAAAAGGAAGAACAAGTAGACTTACCAAGGGAGCAAGCTATAGACAGAGGAGTGAGGAGGAACGGCCGAGACTGAGTTTGTCCTCTTACAGGAGCTATCAGAAATTCCAAAATACTGCCTTTCATCCCACAGATAGAGGTAAAAGGAGTTATCTTATGGATCCTAGCTTCTGAGGGTCCCCCAAGGATAAGCAACTACAAAATAGGATTAAATCATTGCTCAATGGGGAGGAGTTTGAACCATTTGCTATAAATCCTTGGCTCAGTTATAAGTAAGAACAAAACAATTAATTGATGGGAAAAGTGAAAAGGGGCATATGGAATCTGCAGTTGAGTGGAAAGGCTAGATCCTGGGGAACTGGACATGAAGGCATAAAGATCTTCATGGTGGTTCAGTCTGCCCTAGTTATCAACCACTATAAGTGTCAAAGTGCTTCACTGGAGGCAAAAAGGCAACTACGATGTCAAGTGGTCATACCAAAACACACATTTGAGACTTCATTTCCTGTCCTGTCCTTGGCAGCTGCCATCAATAGTGGGTAAGTTCAAATTCTATTTCAGAGCATTTTGAATTTTGGATTTGTAGATTAGGGATGCTCAATCTGCAATACATGAGCAATAGAATTTGTGGAACAGCACAGTAAATGAAGAAAACACTGGCTGGTTCAGTAACAAAAGTCTAAGCCTGGAACTATGATCTGTAGCCTTAGGAAAGTTACTCTTAGTCTAAAATGACATGATTGTACATTTCCTTCATACTCTAACATTAAGGCATTTATTTAACTTACCTTCTTTTTATACAATTTTGGATAACAGAAAAATATAGATAAAAGAGAAAGACTGGTTGATGTGTTTGTGATTAAGGCACACTAGCTATTTCACTGGTGTGACAGTCTATTTGCCTACACTGTATCCACTCTTCTTCCTTATGGAGGCCCAATTTGTTGGGACAGCACTGTGCTCACTCAGCTTCAACATTTCCCAGCTTGCTTTGTAATAGGTCTGGCCCCAGGACACAGTTCTGAAAGTCACTGGGTGGCTCAGGAAAGCTCTTTGAAATAGATCTGTCTAGGTTCTGCCTCTGCTCTTTGTCCTTTCTGATGGCCTGGAAAAAGACATGCTGGCGGAGCACCACAGGATGGAGGAGAAGAGGAACCCCTGTTATTCATAAGGGGAGACAAACTCCTGACATTATTTAAGCAAGTGTATGGTTTTTGTTACATCCAGTCAAACTCAATTAGAAACCACTAATCTCTAGTTTTTGACACCTGTATCACATTTCCAATAAAATTCCTCAGACTGGACTCCATGATAAATTCTTAGGAGGTGTTTAATTCTGTTTCAAAATATTTTATCATTTGTTTTCATTTTAATTATAGTAATAACATAATTAATATAAACACATTAGAAATAAGCTAAATAAACACTGTATCTCCATGAATTGTTATGCAATTTCACTACCTTTTGTATTTGAATCTATAACTTACATTAGGGCCTGTAGTCATCTAACGTGACCTCATTCAACTTCTAATTAGTTGGAAAATGCTGTTCATACTGTATTCTTTTTAGTACATATAAATCAATACTGATTCTTGTATTAATAATTTTTAAAAAAGGCACCATGATTTGATGTTACAACCATTCAAATATGTAAAACATGACAGAATCAAAGCACAAAATTGCATAAAGAATGCAGAAGAACCTATTATCCAGGTAAAAGCTACTGTACAATAGATTTAATAGGCCCTGCAACCACACACAAAAAGTTATAATTAATATAAGTAGAAGACAAATAGATAAAACTGTAAATTTGACCAAAACTAATCCACTTTATTCTGCAGTATTATCAACCTTTATGACTGGCTGGCTTTCACAGCGCTGGAAGGTGCTACTGGAAAAGAAAAGCAATCATCAACCTTGCTCAGCTGCGAATCCTGCAATCTACAACAACTAGGGCTATGCTCACTGGTGCAATAGTAACATGAATGTTATGGGACCCACAACTGACCAAAGTACAGAGAACAGGAGACTGCAGAGTACTTATCCCTGAATAAGATGCTTCTATGACACCTCTGCCTCTCAAGGCTCAGTGAATCATTGGAGAAGAGGGCAGAAAGATTTTAAGAGCCAGAGATAGATGACCACACTGACGTAGTTTTCCAGACATCTGGGCAATTACTCATATGTACTCTCAGCAATGGTGACAGCATGATTTGATGCTACAACATAAGACCCATGCAAGCTCAAGCCAAACAGAATCCCAGCATGGAAGTGGGGAGGTAGATAGGAAGTCCCAGCCCTAGCTGAAGAAGTATTGGTAATCAGTAGCTAATGGGAGAGGAAGACTCAGTTTTTAATTGAGTGCATGAAACTGGGTGAGGGGTATGGAGGAGTGCAGATAGAGGAGGGAGGTCTAAATATGATAAAAAAAATATTACATGAAATTCTCAAAAATTCAACTAAGAAAAAAAAAAAAAGAACCAACTAAAGGGGCGGGGTAAGATGGCTCAGAGGGTAAAAGCATTTGCTACCAAGCCTGATGATTTGAGTTTGATCCCTGGGATCAACATGGTAAAAAGAGAAAACTGACTCCCACAAAACAGACTCCCTCTGACCTTCATATGTAGGCACAGCACACTCAGAACGAACACACACACACACACACACACACACTAGACTGACAAACAAACAAACAGATATCATTTAGACACTGGAGAGATGGGTCAGCACCTAAGCGCGCTTGCTGATCTTGTAGATGACTCAGGTTCATTCAGTTCCCAACATCCATATGGTGGCTCACAACAGTCTGTAACTTCAATTCCTGGGGATCCAGTGTCCTCTTCTGGCCTCTCTGGGAACTTTCACTCATGTCGTGCACATGAACTCATGCAGGCACACATAGACATACTCATAAAAGTAAATAAATCTTTTTTTAAAAAAGAACCAACTGATGCAGAGGTAGGCAGATCTCTGTGAGTTTAAGGCTAGCTTGGTCTACACAGTGAGTTCTAAGACAATCGGGGCTGCATAGTAACACCCTGTCTCTTTAACCAAACAAAGAGATAGTAATAATGTCACTTTCGCCACTCTAACAATCACCAGCAATCTCATAAAGAGGCTCTGAAACTTTTTCTTCAATACCATAACAAATTTTTTCCAATATTACTATTAATAAGTCAACCTGGTTACCAATGTTAACTGGCAGTTATGAGAGCTTAATTAACGAATATATAGGATAATTAAATGGATTAAATCAAGTTACACATTAATTACCCATATACTTAATATATTTTAAGTTTAAAACAAAACAGACTCACTCAATAAGATAAATATTTCTAAAAGTCTGATAATTTCCCTAGATTCTACTGATTTCTTTCAGGAGCCAAATGACAGGTACTATGCTGAAAGATAATGCTTTCTCCTACATTTTCAAGAACAAAATAACTTCACCTGGTATTTTCCCACACCCAGTATGGATCATGATTGAACAGACACTCCGCATTAGAGTTACCAAATGATATTAAAACTCAAGAAGTCCTGGATAGAAGAGATCAAGTTTATGTGCATGACATGAGTACCCTAAATTAGAAAATGAGGCTCTGAAGTTATTAATACTACATCACATGTTAACTTAAGCAAGAGACATTCCATGCATTATTAAAGTTAAACTCAGAAACATATTTCAATCCCAGCACCCACATGGCAGCTGAAAACCATCTGCAACTTTAATTCCAGGAGATCCAACACCCTCTTCTGACTTCTGGGCACTGCACAACATGGATGCACTTATATACATGCAGGCACAACACTCATACACATAAAAAATAAAGAGCTGGGCTTGGTGGCACATGCTTTTAATCTCAGCACTTGGGAGGCAGAGGCAGATAGATCTCTGTGAGTTCAAGATCTCTGGTCTACAT